ATCAGCTCCGGTATTTTACTACAACCCTAAGGCTGTACGACTCGTTTCCGGTGACCGATTGGCTGACGAGTGGCGATATATTGCCGGCGATTGACGCGCTCTATGCCGTCGATGCCATTCATGAGGCCATTGAAAGTAAGCTTAACAGCAGTAGAGTGCGTCTGAATTGCGCCCAATAAGTTTTATTAAAATATATTTACTTATAATAATTAATAATACATTGAAATTGAAATTAAAATAAAATATTGTGCATAAATAATATCATTTATTTATAATTATTATATAGTTTTATATATTCTAAAGGATCGGTATACCTGGATAATTATTAAAATAATTAATTTAAAATTATAATTTGTACTTCTAAAAACCTTATTAATTTTTAAAAAATTTTAAAAATAAATTATAATATGTTTTTTTAAATTAATTATGTAAAGTACTATACAATTTTACCTTGAATAACTAACATTTTATTTATTTTACTCATGCTTTTTAATTTAATTATTAATTTTGAATAGTATTATATTTATGAGCTAGGAAACAACTGCATTAAAATGTACTAAATTACATTTCATAAATAAAATAACCTTAGTCACAATTAATTTTACGCTACACAATTAAATATGTATGATTTAGCCAGACACAATATAATCATGGTTTTATTTAAAAAAGCCCTTAACGTACAAAAACATTTACAAAATATATAATCAAAATAAACTGTATAATAATCGATTGAACATGAAAATAATTGCACTTTTAGTAAGCTTGACAGTTTTTGATAAAAAGTATTAAATAAATAGTTCGTAAATATTTAATTAAATTTTACTTTTAATATAATTATGTTATGTAATTGTAACTATTTTTGAATGTGTGAGCAATTAATTTAAATAAATAGATTTATACGTGCAATAATATAATCTAGTAACATCGTATTACATATAAATTATAGTTACTATAGCTATATTATAGTGACCTGAGTAAATGATTTTAAAGTACAATATAATAAATCTACATGACAAGTTAAACATGTGTAAAATTAAATTTATTTTAGACATTACGTCAATTCTGACCTTATAACCAGGGTAAAGTCAATTTATTTTATTGATAATTATTGATCTGATTTGAAAATACTTTTATAGAGGCCAGGATTGTGTTTGGGATAAAAACAAAATTTTATACAATTGTGACATAATTTATTAATTAATTGATAATCCTAATGATCTATTAATTATAGTTAATGAACTTTACCTACATCATACATTCAATGATAAAATTTATTTAAATAATTAAACTACTTAAATATTGCTACCTTGTTTGTATAATAATTTAACTTTTTTTGTTCATTTTAATGTGCCACTATATCTTTATAAAATTATTAAAAATATAATTAATTATGCCTACCAACAGTGCATTAATTATGGGTACAACATGATAAATTGTTATAATTTTTAACATGTTTAATATAAATAGATTGTATAATATCTGATTAAATCATATCCAAGTCATTGTAATCTATATTACAAAAAATTGTAAAAATATTTTCTAAAAATGAAAATATTTATCCTATTTGTGGCGTTAAGTATTTGTGGTATAATGCACACAAAAGTTACCAACTCTAAATTTTAATTAATTTATCATTTATTTTGTTAAACAGCATTATGTTATGCGAGACGTCATACGGGTCCTGTTAATAGACCCCGAGATGAGGCCAGGGATCCAACTACTCCATCTCACTCATGCTCACTCGACTACACCATCGACTACCTTATACTAGCCCTTCAATGGCCGACCAGTTCGTGCTTAAAGTACGACAACATCTGTAACGTCGACGCAGATTACAGTTGTTGGCAAATACACGGCCTGTGGCCGCAGCGCCGGCATGAGCCCCACCAACAGGAGGTCCAGTGGTGCTGCGCGACTGCGTACGACCCGTCCCTTTTGGACCCAATCCGGGCCGAATTGACCCGCAAATGGATGACCCTTAATGTGACCGCTGATAACGACTATTTTTGGGGCCACGAGTACGATAAACATGGATCATGTGGTCGCAGTTCGCCGGCATTGGCCGATCAGCTCCGGTATTTTACTACAACCCTAAGGCTGTACGACTCGTTTCCGGTGACCGAGTGGCTGACGAGTGGCGATATATTGCCGGAGAATGACGCGCTCTATGCCGTCGATGCCATTCATGAGGCCATTGAAAGTAAGCTTAACAGCAGTAGAGTGCGTCTGAATTGCGGTGACCCGAGTGGACCCGAATGGGCCCCCATTTTGTCGGAAATTTATATATGTCTGGACGTGGACACCTTTCAGCCCATTGACTGCGAGGGCGAAGATAACAAGAATACGAAGAATTTAATCCAATATCCCAAACATTAAATCAGCTTGATAATTGCTACAAAAGCATGTATACTCTACAAATAAATACTCCAAGTATTTGTTTTAAATTGAATTAAAAATTGAATTATAAAACTTATGACTATTATAAAAATAAAATGCTTATTTTATTTTAAAGGTTTACATCAAATGATATTCTTATAAATAAATTACATTTTAATTCTTAATACTAATTTCCAAGAAAACCTATTTTTATTAATTAATATTTTAATAAAGTTTCATTTGATTTAATTAATGTTTGTCAGTAAATAATATTGTATAAATAATAAAATGCTACTAATTCATATTATATAATTGGACATACATATACCTAAATATGATTAATATGTAGTATGTTATATTTTTATATAACTCATGCTTACTCTACATGAACAATTATTGTATTAATATCATTTTAAATTACAAGTACATAATTTTGTGTTTAAATTAGTTACATTTACAAATAATAAAAATTATGGTTTAAAATTTTTTTAATTTAGCTTTCTCATCTAACAGTAATACATTAACATGACAAGTTAAACATGTTTAAAAATGTGCATGATAATCATTATAATATAATGTGCGTCAATACCAAGTGTATGACGGCAATCAGGGTAATAAATATTTTTTTATAAATATTAATTATAACAAATTTTAAAAGTTTAAAATTTATTTTATATAGTTCAAAAAATGGTTGGGTCAAACAAGCTAATTAATTACTGGCCAAAATTATAACTATGAAATAATCATGATAACCTATAATTTTTGTTAATCCATTACCTTTAAATACATTAGTAATTTGTATTGAATTACTTTCAACATTGATAACCTTGCTCACTATAAACTTAAAATATGAATCGATGGTTTCTATAACGGGTTTCTTGGGAAAGCAGTACTGGGTTATGAACTATTGGTAATGCGTTCATCAATTGAATGCATGCTAAATGATATAAAGTTCATTACCAATAGTTCATAACCCAGTATATGTGTCAGGGAAAGCCAGACAGAGTCAAGTCCCAGATGCAAATACATTACTATGAACTATAGGTAACACATTGGTCACCAGGTTATATACCGTACATTTTATATTTAAACAAAGATAATATCATTTTTAAAAAACTTTAAAAGAAATTTAATTATGTATAAAATTAAAACTATAATTAAACTAATATTTATAAAAAATTTACTATTAAATTATTTATGAATGTTTATAATATTATTATTGACCAATGTGTTACCTATTGTATAAATCATACTATGAACTTAATAATGTATTTGCAATTGGACTTGATTCTGTCTGGCTTTCCCTGACACATATGCTTTCCCAAGAAACCCGTTATAGAAACCATCGATTCATATGTATGCTATTCGGTTTAATGTATAGCTACGTGTAAATGGCTTAATTTAAATTTTAATTAATTATGCAAATAAAGAGTCCACTAAATATAAATACAACTTGATAATTTATTTTCAATCTGACCATGTTTAATATAAATAACTTAGATAATCTCTAATTAATCATATCCTAGTCATAGTAATTAATACTAGAGACTAAAATATTTCGAAAAACATCAAAATATTTGGATGGGCTTATGCTATACAGTCCTTAAAGTTCACTGCATGCAGGCTGTAAGCAATACATAATTAGTATACTTATTATATCAAAACTATATAGCATTGGAAATAAACAAAACATAAAATCACTTTAATTACTTTAAATCCAATTAACTTAATTATTAATAATAATGAACAGCAATAAGTTTTTTAATAATTTATAATAATTTTAAGTGTTTTATGAAGAATTTATATTATTTTTATAAATGTGATAGGAATATACGAAAAGGTG